GGATGTAGCTTGTGTGTGCCCATTAGTCCAGGGTAAAAGACACCCGTTTTCAAATTTATTTATAGTAGTTAAGAAAAAACATAGGTAATCCACTCTGTGCCCTCAGATGATACAGCTGGGGGGGACACACAGTTTTTCTGCATGGGATTATTTTCTGTGCTGTAGCTGAAGGAATTAAAGGGTGTACAGATACTGCCTTTAAATGCTCATGTCTCTGATGTTAACATTTGTTTAAAAAAGGTTAATTGCATGCAATTATGTGCTAAAGGAGCTGCATCACAAGAAAAGTCAATAGTACTAGGAAACTGTAACTTTGAATTAATGATAGAGCTGAGCAGTTATGCCCAAGCATTTTATTTAAGAAGGCAGCATGGGTTTTTTATCATAAACTGCTGCAATATGATGGTTTTGTGTGGGTTTTTGTGTTTTTTTTTCCTTTTCCATAACTGTGTGAAAACACATATTTAACACTTCACACTGAATTCTTAAAGTGAGCAAATAAAGAAGCAAATATTCTAATGTTTTAAATTTAACACTAGTGTTAAATGTGTTAAATGTTAGTGTTCATTAGTGCTGAATATTTAAAAACAGTATTGCTGTGTCTATTAGATGTATTACTTGAAGGAAAAAGGCACAGTTGTGCTTGTTTAGCATCAGAACCTCAGAGTATAATAGCTTCTATTTATTTTGTAATCTGTCTATGATAAGAATCAATTGCTGCTTTATGGTACTGGTGACAAAATTTATTGGGGTAAATGGAAAATATCCGTCAAACTTGATGGAATCCCTTTTTTTTCCCCCCTTCCTTTCCAGGCCAGGGTCCTAGGAGTTCATAAAACTGTTCAGTCAACATTCAGCCTTTATCCAATTTGTATAAATCATCTAGCTGGTATCCATCTCCAAACTGCTGATAAATAGCAATTTTTCCTTCCTAAGCTAGCTAAACTTTTAAAAGTTTCATATGGAAATGATGGGGGTTTTATGTAAAAAAAAAAATAGATAAAAGATAAGCAGTCTGGTATGGAAGTGCCTTTGAATCCTTATCTGAAAGTAATCTTGGCCCTTGTGACTCCATACTCATTTCAGATGGATGCAGTATAATTTTAAAATACCCTGATGAGGAAGAAAAAGGCAACTCCAAACAACAACAGAAAACACACACTCAAATCCAAACAAAATACAAAATAAACCCCTAAACTCCCAGAAAAACCAAAAGATTTAAAAGAGTAAGAAAAACTCCAGTGGGCCCAAACCTCTGATGATTTTTTTGTTGCCCAGTGCCTGGTATTTTGCTTCTTGACAGCTCTAGAAAAGACTTGGTAGATTAGGCTGATCTCACATGAATTTTATACTTTCAATCCCATTAGATTAAGGATTTGGCTCACTCCTGATAAATGTCAATATAAAGCAGCAGAAAAATCAAGCCAGGTGAGCTGGTCATGACCTTATATGCATAATGATAATTAATAGCTAATGAGACTGATAAAATATGATTCTGAAATGCAGTAGACTGCATCATCAGGACTGTTTAGAAATTAAAATTTTAAAATGCACTAGGAATTAAAGACATATTTTGCCATCATGGGCAAAAAGTTAAACTCCTCCACAAAAGGATGTGTGTCAGATATGTCACTGAAATATGTCCTCTTCAATAGAGTTATGCATCAGAATAAGAATTATTCATTAATTTCGTTCAGAGGGCAGGAAAACATGGGTTAGACTAATATAATACCTGGTTTTAATCTGTACTTTAAATAAGGGCAGCTGTTTTAACTTTTATGGAGAGGCTTTTCTTGTTACTTTTCTCCTGACATAATTTCTTCCACTGAAGTAGAAGCAAGCTTGATGTGTGATTCTCCCAAGCCTGCAGCAGAGTCTTTACTCCGAAGTAAATACAAAACTATATGAAAGCAAACAAGTGAAACCCAATTATTACAAAATATTCCCGAGTTACTTTAGTATGAAGTTTTTTTTCCCATATACCTCTCTCTCAACTATTTCCCCTATTTCTATATCAGAGCTAATCTCTGAGGTTAATCAATGAAGAATTCTTCACACGATGAACTTTGCTCACTTGTGTTGGTTAAAAAGAGCCTTGACTCAAATCTGCTCACCTGGATCAAGCAATTTGTTCCACAAAATTCAAAAAGGACTGTGTCAAATGCAGCCTTTGACTCTATACTGGATGTTGCCATAGTTTTGTGTCGTAGTTGAGACAGAGACAATAACAAGCAACACGCTCCATGTTCAGAAGGCTTCAAACCTGTTTTTATTATAGCATATATGTTTTTTTTACATTCTTACGAAACTTATAAGTTTGCACTTTACTCATTGGTCACAAGAAACAAGGAAAGTGTTTATTGGAATAGGGAGTTGCAGGTTTCTCTTATTTATCCTTCTTTCTTTCTTGGTTTCTATGTCAACGACCTTGATAGAGAATTCTTTCAGGGGTAGACATGAATCCTCTTATCAAACTTCTCTCTGGTTCACAAAAGTTGCTGTAAAACCTCTTCCACACTTTTGCTGGTTTGCATAGTCAATGAGCTACAAAGAGCAGCCAGCCTCCCTCTGAAGATAAAACAGACATATTTTTTCATGTCTGTGAGGCAGTGGAGTTGAGGTTTACTAATTTGTTTTTAATTCATCAGGCATGACTTTCTGAACTTTCCTTGTTTCTGATGTTTCTAAAAGGGAAGGAGAAAAGAAGGACTTCTCTTCATGATCATTAATGGGAGGCTTAGACATCTTGAAATTTTGAAGTCCTCAGCCACAATTCCTTATTCTCTTTAGTCACTTCTGGTTTTGTGGTTGCTCCAAGTGAGTGATTTAGAGAGGATATGTTGAAAACGGACATAGAGCTTCCTGGCAGAGTAGATGCGTTCAAGGAAGCACAGCCAGGAGCCCCAGTAGACCCCATGGAAGGTGCATCTGAATATGTCTGTTCCTTCTGCTTGGAAATGTTCAAACCTGCTTTTGATTGGAAATTGTTTTACTTTGGATGAGAACAAAAGCTGTGAATAAGCACTTAATTCTTAGAAGACTTCTTTTTTTCTTTTTTTTTTGTTAATTCTTCTCCCACTTGCATCTCTTGAAACATTCAGGAGAAAGAGTTGATTATTTAAAAGCACTGCATTTTGTAACTGCTGTAGAGAGGGAAAAAAAAAAAAGAAAAGAAATGCACTTTAGGATTTATATACAGCATTTCAGTAAGATAAACAGCTTTTTCATCACAGTGGATGTCTATGTCATACCAAGCTGGCATTCCATGACAATTGCTGCTGTTCTCCTTGCCCAACCTGCTGGAACACCTCCAGGGCTTCCATTCAGGGCCACCACTGAAATGCCTGGAGTGAGTTTACTTTTAATGGCACTGTTTCAATCAGAAGGAAATAATTATAAAATAACAAATTGAAAGAGAATACCTGCAGGTTTTTAGGCTTGTTTTATTCAGTAAATATTTCATTAGGGAACTCATGGAAAGGTAAAAAAACAACTATTTACATTTTAACTTTTGAAAATGTGGTAATTTTTGTACATTGGAAAGGTCAGTCTGTACAATGAAGGAGCAAACCTAATTTTCTGTTTAGTTTTGAACCATACTGATGGAGGCGTATGAAACAGAGCACTGAAGCATTTGCATTTCTCCTAATTGATTCCTGTGTCCTCAGTCAAATCCAGTGCAGCAGGGACTGCCCTTCTCACTGAAGTGAGTGTTGGACCATCACTTCTGAAGGGATTCTTTTTAGAACATATCCTTTTATAACAACCTTAGTAATGGTGGAGAGCAGGGAATTTGAAGTTCCTTAGTTGCACATGACCTAACTCACAGCTTCTACTGGAGCAGCTTTCAGTTTTCAATCAAAATGGTCACCTGTGACCACATGTCTCTTTTGAAATCATTGCATGGACACAGAACATGAGATTTTTATAAGTGTTATTGATATGAGGAGTTTCTAGACCCTGCAGCATTGTTCTGAAATCATGTGGCAGAAAAAATATGTCCCAATATACTCTGCTCAATTCCTTGTAGCACAGTTTAAGCTGTAAACTACTTTGCTGATGAACTGTAAAGTATGGTAGCCGTGGAGTTAACTAAAATCACAGCTTTACTTTCAAAACTCAGTGCAGCCTTATCTGTTGAAACAGTGGAAACGCCCTCTCACCTGCCAGCTGCTTCTTAAATCTCAAGAAATTGTGCAAGATGGAAAGCTGTGTTGAGTGTTTTGGGCGGCATTGGGGACTTTTTCAAAAGATATTCTTACACTGTTCTTTCTATAGTAAAGGGGAAGTTTCATTAGGAATTTAACATGAATTTATGCAATAAATACTTTTAAGCACTCTGCAATTAAAAAGCTATATGTGGCAAGAAAAGATAAATATCACAAAATTATTTCCATGTGCTTTGCAGCAATATTACTGTACAAATGATGGTTAGGAGTTGAAATTAAGTTCATATGAGTTAAAAATCACTGAGCATTTGGCTTCCATATTTTGGGTGTATTTTTAATAATTGAGAAGAGTAGAAATGAGATGACATCACTAACAACTAAAATACAAACCCTTGAAACATTTATGGCATACCAGCTGTCCAAGAAGCATCATCATCTTCTGACAAATGATATCCTCTGAAGCTTAATGTACAGCACTCAGATATGCTATTTCAAACACTTTGCTGACTGAAATGATCATTTGAAAGATATTTGAAAGTTGTCTTTCTAGGACCAGGCAAATACGAGTCTTACTGACCCGGAGAGATATATAAGCATCTAAGCAATGTGCAGCTCCCTCAGCAAAGGGACAGTAGATTTACCAGTTTTAAATTCTGTTTGTTACTGTTTTCTGTATCTCCTCACATCAACTTGTTTAAACATGCCTTTAAGGAACAGATATTTTTTTAAGAAGATAAATGCTTGTAGCCCATAGTACTCTTGAGAAAATAAATATTAAATATAGTAAGATGGATTAATTTTTCATTTCACTGCTCATTGCTTTCCTTTCAGCTTCTTACCTGATTACATCAGTGGTGATTTTGATTCCATTCAGCCTGAAGTCAAAGAGTACTACAAGGTCAAGGTAAATTAAATCCCTTTGAGTTTTTCTGTGATAGAGCGTTGTAAGATCCAAGCCATTAGTGCTCCAGTTGGTCATGAAGGGATTCTGGTTTCATTGCTTCCTTTGTGGCTTCAGTTGTAAACACTTGAGAAACTCAGAAGTTGTGTTTGTGGTACTGTACTAAAATAAACACAGGAGGTGCAATACTGCCCAAATCCTGGGTGAGTTTTCATAGTATCAGGTGATAAAATAGATCAAATGGTGGTAAAGATTACAGCATCTAGAAACTAGGATAAAACTTCCTGAAAAAATCCGTGACTTCTTTTTCATGGTGAGATACCAAGAAATAAAGATTAATTTACTGTGATTTCCACTTGGTGGGTATCCACATACTTTCTAGAGAAAGTTTTTCGGTGTGCTATTTGTAGGATATGACTTTACCTTTTTAGAGGAAAACTGCAGATAGAGAAATCTGTTTCTTTCCTCACCCACTGAAGCACTGAATTGCAGTCAACTACTTCTGCTACAGCGGTGGAGTGCCCTCCCTAATGAGTTATTGGATTAATTCCTACCTGTGTTAATTTATTTCCAGTGAGCAGCATAAAGGTAAATTCATTTTTCTCAGGTCTTAGGGCTTAAAGTTCTGCCTTTACCTGACTCTTTGGTATTCAACACTCCACCTGCCTACTTATTTAGGCTTTTGTGATGAGCACAGTTCTTCACCCTTGCATCTTGGACACAGGCAAATTCAGAGTTTGCCTTGACAGGCCAGCTTACCTTTGGAGCAGGCTGCACTTGCAGGAGGTGTTTGATCCTTCTGAAGTAGTTGACTTAGTCTGCTGATTCATGTATAAGAATGAAATCTGCCTAGAATCTTCCCTGATGGACTTGGGATCAAATGGTTAGAACAAAAAGTTTCAAACTGTGAGGGGAGGGCTGAAGGAGTGTGTAGAGCAGGGTTATAGTCTCTCTCTGGGCACTGTGGGGTTACATTTCCATATTCTACCCCATTTTTTAGGATGGAGAAATGTTGATGGCTGTTCACCTCTAGGAGAATCTTAGGAATGGTTAGGAATCTAAATTAAAGCTTGGGAAGTGAAAATAAGATAAAAAGTTTTGGGTTAATACTATTCACTACAGACTGAAAACTCATGATCTGTGAATAAATTAATTCAAGAAGTATTTGGACAACTCACTTGGGCACATGGTGTGACTCTTGGGGATGATGCTGTGCAGTGCTGGGAGTTGGACTCACTGATCCTTGTGGATCCCTTCCAGCTCAGCTGCTTCTGTGAGTCTGTAAAAGGAGAAACTACAAAATGCACTACTCTGTTTGGCATGGACATGGGCAAGCCCTGCTATCACCACAGGCTGGGGGATGAACAGATCAAGAGCAGCCCTGGGGAGAAGGACCTGGGGGTGCTGCTGGATGAGAGGCTGGACATGACCCAGCTATGTGCACTCGCAGCCCAGAGAGACAAATGTGTCCTGGGCTGCCTCCAAAGCAGGATGGCCAGAAGGGTGAGGGGAGGGTTTCTTTTCCTCTGCTCCTCTCTGGTGAGACCCCACCTGCAGGGCTGGACACAGCTTTGGGGTCCCAACATAGGAAGGACATGAACCTGTTGAAGTGAGTCCAGAGAAGGACACCAAGATGATTAGTAGGGTGAAGGGATCTGGAGATGAGGAAAGGCTGAGAGAATTGGGATGGTTGAGACTGGAAAATAGAAGGCTTCAGAGTGACCTAATTGCAACCTTTCAGACCTGAAGGGAGCATAAAAGAAAGATGGAGACTTTTTACAAGAGTATATAGTGACAGGACTAGTGGGAATGGCTTCAAATTGATAGTAGGTTTAGATTAGATATTAGGAAGAGTTTCTTTATTGTGAGGGTGATAAGACACTGGAAGAGGATGCCCAGAGAAGCTGTGGTTGCCCCACCCTTGGCAGCGTTCAAGGCCAGGTTGGATGGGACTCTGAGCAAGCTGGTCTAGTGGAAGGTGTCCCTACCCATGGAGGAGGGGTGAAACTTGATGTTCTTTAGCGTTTCTTCCAACCTGAACCATTCTATGATTCTGCAGTTAATGCTTATATGGAACACCATGCTGGTAGATAGGTAAGTCCTACCAAAGAATGCAAGTTAAGGATAATTCAACAGAGAGGGGAGATGGAAGAATGCAGTAGTTATTACCCTTTTTCAGGGGGATTACTTTTCTGGCCATAGCATCTTTTTTGTCAGCTTAGTTGCATCTTACTGGTGATGCACAGTTTACATCTTCTCTATGAACACATAGTGAATTGTTCTGCTTCATGCAGAGTTAATCCATCTGTGCAAGGACTAAGCTGATAGGCTGTAAAGGAAGGAGTAATTAATCAGGATTTTAAAGGTGCAATGAACAGCATCATCTAGACTACAGAATCCTTGCCTGAGCTCTTCATATAAGGCTGAGAAAAATGCAGACAGACTTTAGAATTTTAAGTTTGGGTGTACATGGTAGGAAAAATCATTTTTGCATTTTTAAATTAACTTTCCATAGTCAGAAAACTAGAATGGTAAGTATGGGCGAGTCTCTAAGGAGATCTTGAGCAAAAAATGTAATAAAATACAGAAACTGGAGAGAGGTGTATATTTCTTCTCTTTAAAAGCATCTTGTTCATTAAAGCACCCTCTGTAGTCCAGACAATTTCCAAAGTCACTGTCTTTTGGAAGTGCTCTATGTGTTCATGACCCAAAATATATTAGGGCTGCTTAAAACAGGCTGTGGGAGAACTTCAGGTGCGTAGATCAGTGTAGCACCATTGACTTTAGGGAAGCGTCACGTTGTCAATTAGGGTTGTTTCCCATACCATTCTTCCTTTCCAAGGTGCAGATTACACCCGGAGACAAGGTAAGCTTCTATCATTAGATAACATTACTGTATTGCTTTAAGTATTCTCTTTTATCAGTTGTTTTTTATCATTTTATGAAAGCTACCTATATTGGCAGAAATTATTGCATTGTGACATTTTCTACCTATCTGAAGATATTGTGCTGCGGCTTCAGAAGAGTTACTTTTTCATAGTAAAGCTTATGGATGTTAATTACTGAGCTATAAAACATCATCATATGCAATTGTTTGTGTCAAAGACAGCCCAGTGTAGTGCTAGGTAAGTAGTGGGGTGTAAAACTCAGTGCATTAAACTAATTGTTATGGAAGGCCTTGTCTATAGCAGTTGTGTCATCATCACAGCCTAGCAACAGCCTGACTCTTCATCACACCAGCTTCATGCTAGGATGTTGCTCCTGGACTCAGAAGGTTTTCTACCTCATTTAAGTGATGAAAGCAAGGAAATTTTTGTCACTACAAGAGATTCCCAAAGCCAAAGGGTTTTACTGAATGGGCTATATTTAAGACAGTTGCTCTGGTGTTTTAATTTGAGCAGGGATTACAAGCCAAGTGTTTCCATTTTCCTATTAGGAGGGTAATCACTATTGTATTGGGGACCCTTCTTAAATAAAGTTCATAATCATGAAGCAGATAAATCCATTTTATCTCTGTTAGGTGTAGGATGCCACAGTGAAGAGATCTAAAGGCAAAAGTTCTGGTTTGGAAAGTAACTGTGTAACAGACTTCTGAGTGGGATGTGTAAGTCAGGAGTTAGGCATTCCTTTTGGGAGAGAATAAGTAAGCATGTCAGAGGTTATTCAGCTTTACTTTTTATTTTCGGTGGTCATGGTTTTGCTTCAGTGGCTTGTCAAGGATGTACTTGTAGTCTTCTATTAAAATTTATTAAAATATTAGAGATGATTTCCTCCATTTCTTAGAGTTAAATAATGTTAAAACTGGATAAAACTGCACCACAACTCAAAACGAAATGTCATATTTAAAATTTCTTTTTAAAATCATATTGCACTATTAATGAAGGATAAAGAATAGCAATTTAGTATTCTTTATTCTGTGTGCTTTCTGTCATTGTTAAAATAGAAATTGAGAAGAGGTTTTGTGCCTGCATGATAAATATGCATGTTCATGTGATCCTATAATAGATGCACTGGCATTCTTTCTCTGTACAGTATGAAGTACATTGGAAATGACACTGCACAAAGCAGGGAGGATTTGTGGTGATATTTCTGTCACTGGAGTTTCATCCTTTTCTTGCTTTAGCTGAGTATTTCTATTATTGAAACCTTTTAAACACTGCTTTGAACTTAAAGCAGCTATTTGTATTGTTATGCCTCAAACAAGGTTCTGTTTCTGAAGTCTTAAGTCCAAAGACATTATCTAAAATTATACCAAATCTGTTCTTAAGCCTAGAAGCAGAAGGTTGAATCCAGTGTTCTTTGAAATCCAGGTTATGCTATTTATTAAAAATCTGGTTTGGCTTTCCCACCAAGCATACTTCATGTGCCTTGAAAGGCTGCTGAAGACTTAGTAGTCTCTACTTCAGATCTCTAATTAAATGCTGTGAACTTATTTACAAATCCACTTATTTTCCTATTATTTTTTGGTTTTAAGTCCTGTAGAGCTGCTTATTTTTGCAGGCAGTTCTGCAGCTTTAGCACTTTCCTATTTTCATTTCCAGGGCTAACAGTTATCAGAGCTGTGAAAAGGTTTAATAGGTCGGGTGTGGGTATTGTATTTTTGTTCTATGATGATGCACCTATAATTAGATTTACAAAATGTATTGGTAACACTGATGTAATGCTTTTATGTCTCTCTAACTTCTGCACTTTCTGGAGAAACTGCACATTTTAGGCCATGTTCCCTGCTTGCTTTCCAAGGCCAAACATTTAAATAATTTTATGAAATCACAGTGTTAATTGATTTGCCTGAGTTATATTACTATAATTTAAAACAAAGAAAACTATTAAGTTTTTATGTGCCTATTTTTATTTATCTTTTATCCCTGAATGTTACATTTTTTCCCTAGAACTAATTTTTAATACAGGATGAGACTGCAGATATTAAAATGCTTGACTCATTTACAGCATTCTTGTTAGACTGAACAATTATTTAAGAAAAACATGGTTTATTTTAGGGCCTG